AAAAAAAAAAAAAAAAAAAAGAACTGCCATCTCTATGAAATGGAAGGCAAAGCAAGATTTTCCAGTAACAGATTAAAAATTCAATCACTCTGTGATGCATTAGCTGCCTTCAATCTTGGATCAGGGTACCTCCGTCGTTCCCTATAAATCAACATCTTGGCTGAGGAGGTGATCCGCTCAATTCGCCAGCATTATGTATGCTCGCAGGTTGTCCTGAACGTTAATGGAGTTGTAATTCATACGGAATGACATGTGACTCAGAACAGCGAAACGTGTCGCCACGCGACACACACTCTGCTACCCCTAGTGTCCATGGTGTCATCAATGGGATGTAGCAGAGAATAGAAGAGGGGCAGAGGGTGAACAAGCTGGTGTTGCACTGCTGGACCAACAATCGTTGCTCTTACCAGGTCCTGAGGGTGCACACATATTCAATTGAAAGAAGTGGAACGATCTGGCTAGCTCGACTAATTCCGTAAAATCATTTTCTATTGCTTGGAGTTGCCTCGAGAGTTTGGTGAAATGTGGGATTTGCGTTGTCGTTAGAGTGACTTTAATTGCAATTATTGAAAGGATACACTGTATTAAGTGAAATTTGAAATTTTTATAAACTTATGACGATGAAGATTGTCACTTTGTGTATTGTCCTCTGATCTTCTACAAGGTCAGAAAAGAAAATTTTCACATTGTGCGATATCATACATGGAGACACAGATTGACCAAGTCTTTCCTCTAAAAGAGCTCCAACAAAGTCTCTCAACTTTGATCAAATTTCACTTTTACGAGATGAAAACTTTTTTCAGAAGTTACCAAAAGCTCTGGAAGAGATGTAACAAAGAGAGACACAAAGGGAGACAACAGGGATAGGATCGAGTAATTTAGAGGCAGACAGCCTTGGGAGAGTCCTGGAAAATCAACATGAATTTCTTTTTCCCGGTGGGACACGGTCGATCACCGTCACGGGATGCTGGAGGGTGATCAAGGACCCAGTCTCTGACGAAGCATCTTTGTCGGTGAGAAAAGACAATATACTCAAGAAAAAAAAAAACAAAAGAAGAAGGAAAAGAAGAAAAACACACTGTGGAAAAGAGTAGAGAAGAAATATAAAGTCTTGTTCCCTTGGAACACGGACGTAAAAGAAAAATAAAGACACTCTCCTTTGGGTGCAGTAGACGCTATCACACGTTGTCCGTATTAAGTAAAAGTTAATATTCTATATCATGATGAAATACAATATTGTAGTATCGAAATTATTCGAATATATAGTTATATTTTTAGTTTT